TTTTTTTTTTTTTTCTTCTTTTGATTGGCTGCAGGATGTAATGGTGCACCCTTACTGCCTGTCCTATTTGTCATTGTGAACATGGGCTTCAATATATCACTTTTGCATTTGCTCAAGATATCATCTGCAGTTTTATCTTGTCTTACATCAACAGTCTCGGGTCAGTAATACATTATTGTCATCGTGACAATCATTATTAGCAATATTTCTTATTTTGAGTTTACTCACACAGAAATTCACTCACTATTGCTTCCAACATAATCAAGGGTGATTCAATCGTATATGCTACAAGAAATACAATAAATATTCATGATATTTTCATGCAACACTCTTAATCTCCTTATCCTCTTTGCAGTTCCAATATCAGTGTATCTTTTCACATTGCCTCTTCCCTATCTCGGGGTCTCTTCCTCCCTTCCTCCCGGCTTTGTAGCAGGTGCCATCATCCTCGTTTTTGGTCTTCTCGTATATGTGTGGCCTCCCCCTCGAGCAACCCCTCCATTGTGAATTAGCCGACAAAACAAGACCATCTATCTCGGTGGTTATATGCGTTGTATTTTCCAACAAAAGTTGGTTTACTGAACTTTTTTCTGAAAATCAAAATGGCTAGCTTCTTGAAGATACTCTCTTCTGTTTGCTGTTCGATATCCAAATCTTGCTATGTAGAAACAGTAGTTGTAGTCGTTAGAGGCTGATGATTTGACTCCTGCTACTAAGAGATGGCGATTTCAGGAGGGGTGCGAAATAACAATTTACATGAAAGAGAGGAGGTGGCTGGGCTGGTTACTATTGATTTGCAATGATGACACTGTTAGTAGGAGTTCCTCTCGTTGTGAATAGAACATTTCAAGGGTACAAGCATACAAGTGGAATTCGCTCACAAGTTAAAAACTTTGAGTATTTAGTATATGTGGGCTTATAGCAATAAGGTCGAAGCTGTAGATTCATTTTTCTCTCATTTGCTTTTTCATGCATAAACGAAATGCTTATTACAGCTTATTCACGAAACGTTAATGAACAACTAGTGAATTTTCAATATCTAATCATGCACACAATCAACTTGGAATTCTCATTCGTAATAAAAGCACCGGAATTTGTTGTTTTTTCCTTGAACGATAACAAAAAGGAGAAGAAGTGTTGAAGATGGTGATCCTTCTTTACACATAGTTTTTAAGACAAAAGGTTGATTTCCGGTGTGAAGAGATGCTTTTAGGTACAGTTGGTGCTGGTTCATAATTCCTTTTTGCCTATACTAGTAAAGTGCACGTGCGATGCACGTGATACCTAATTTATATTGTAACGTGATTTAAAAATATTATATTTTATGTCATATGTTTTATGGTCGGTTTAAGTTTTTGCATTATTGTTTTCAATGAATCAAACAAAAGAGTACGTTACATGATGAATTGTATCAAGTTTATTGAAATTTGAGAAACAAATTTAAAGTTGCATGACAAATTTGGTTGACAAACTTTCATTATCTAAGTTAGTCTTGTTTAGAGTTGGTCAGAAGTCAGTCTTGTT